ATTAATTTCAATGCTATACTAACTCAGCAATCTTATTTATGTTGTCTATGGGTACTGCTGCTTTCAGAGCTCTTCATAGAAAATTTAGTTTTAGGAAATGCCTGGATCCATCCTGCACGAGGTTGGAGGGGATCTCACATCACACTCCCAGAACACTTGCGCTTGTCTCCTGACACTGGTGCTCCTTCTATCAATGTAATTATTACACAGTAAAGCAGAAACAGCCTCCATTTACTTCCTCCCTGTCAAGCCAGTCTACGGACTAAACTATCAGTCCTAATGTTTTCCTGTAGAATGCACTCCTTCCTGGAGCGATTGGTGAGATCATACCCTTGGTTCAACAGAAACCTTGACTACAACGTTTTGGACTTGTCATAAGGACTTAGAAAAAAATCACATCTGAACCTATCAGTACAACATCAGACTGTCTTACAAATATGGATGACTTTATTAGCTCCACAGCTGAAGATCAAAAGCACAGTCTAGCCTGAATTCCACCTGGGCCTTCAAGTTCCCGCTGTATGTGACATGAAGATCTGGCTTCACATTGTTTCAATCAACATCTAAGTCTCATCTCCTGATAATTTATGGACAACTTCTCAAAAGATAACAGAACTGCTGGGTGTGGTGGTACATGGCTGTAATCCCAGCACTTGGGAGGCTGCGGCAGGAGGATTACTGTGAGTTCGAGACCAGCCTAGACTACATGGTGAGTTCCAGGTCAGTCTCCACTATGTAGTGAGACCCTGTCTCAAAAAAAAAAAAAAAAAAAAAAAAAAAGAATAAGGCACACACACACACACACACACACACACACATACACACACAACCTTTATAAGAAAGAGTAGTCGTATAGGTAAAATCTAAACAGAAATAGATAATCATTCCTGACTCTCTCTTGCTCTCTCTCCCTCCTCTTTCTCCCTTCCTCCTCCCCTCCATGTGTGATTATTATTAGTTATGGTTTAAATCTAAAATATCCCCCAAAGTCTCATGTATCCCGAGGTGGGACTGTGAAAAGTGATTAGATTATAGGGCACTATGCTCACCAGTGGATTAATCCATCAATGAGTCCAGAAGTGAATGCACTGTTAAGAAGCAGGTGCTTGTTGGAGTCACACTACGGGTTGATTTGGAAGAAAATATTCTTCTCCCTAGCTCCTCCCTTTTCTTTCCTGGCTTCCACAAGCATAAGCACCTGTCTGCAACATGTCCTTCTGCTGTGCCATTTCTGCCTTGGAGCCAACTAACCATGCACTGAACTAGGGGGATCTGTGAGCCAAAACAACCTCTTTCCTTTAAGTTGTGGAAATTGGCAATGGGAAAGTAACTTATACATTATTGCTGTCATCACAGGGACTGTTAAATATTTTAGGAATTCCTCCTCCAAGGTGTCTTCTTAATATATGCCTAGTCAAAAATCCCCTTTTGGGGCCAGGGATTTAGCACCGTGGCACCATGCCTGCCTTGCAAGTGCAAGGTCCTGAGTTCGATCTGCGGTACCAAAAATAAATAAGTAAATACCCCACCCCCACCCCCAGCAGAGGCCTTGGGATATATTCAGGTATTCACCTCCTGCAAGATTCCCATTAACATAATTAAAGTTTGGGACATATTGGAAAAAATTTTACCCAGGGCTCTAGGTAATAATTAGTTTGCCCTTTATTTTGATACATCAGTACTAGCTATTAATCAGGATGTCAAAATTTCTGTAGTTGTAAAAATAAGAACAAATTTGTGAGGGACTTATGTGCAATATATTTTATTTAAAGGATATTACTTTGCCCCTTGATTATACACTTACCACGTCTTATTATTTCTTTTATTAAACTATGACAATATTGTAGGTAGTCTTTTTAATCCTTGTCTTAGCAAAAGAAAAGATTTAAACCACTTTGTAGGTTTCTTGTGTGCTGTGGACTGAGCTATATATTCCCCAAAATTTCTACGGTGAAGTTCTGACCCACGCCCAATACCTCAGAATATGACTATATGTGGAGAAGGGATCTTTAAAGATGATAATTACATGTGTGTTCACTGGAATGGGTCTGAATCCAAAATAGCTGGTGTCCTTGTAAGAAGAGATTCAGCTACACACAGAGTGTGAGGACACTGGAAGAATGTGGCCACTTACACACCACGGAGGGGATCCTAGCAGAAATCTCCCCTATCTGCACTTTGATATCTAACTCTGGTCTTGTGGTCTCTTGTAAAGCCACCTGTTTGTAGTACCTTGTTTGGCAGCCTTAAAAAAAATTAAAGCACTCTTGTTTGTATTGTTTGTGTGACTTTACCCTCCTATTTAATCTCCAAAACCTGGGAATGTCCATTTAAACGTATTATGGCTCAGTTTTGTCATGAAAATGGGTAAACGGGGTAAGGCATGCCTCTTTTGTATTACCAGCTAGAAGTGGACATTTAATCAGTATTTGTCAAATTGTAGGGTATGAAAAAAAGTTCCCAGAAAAATCTCTGGAGAAATTACACTGCTATGGTTTAGATTTAGACTGTCCCCCCCAAACTGTCATGCAAATGCAGAGCCAGGGCTTTGGGAAGGTGATTGGATCTTGGGGTGCTATAGTCATTAATAATTCATCCACTAATGAGTTCAGCAGTTGAGAGTGCCGTTAGGTGGGGCCTGGCTAGCGGCGGGTCACTGGAGCATGACCTGGAAGAGCGTACCTCCTCCCCAACTTCTTTCTTTCTTTGCTTTCTGGTTGCTGTGATGTGTGAGCAGCTTTCTTCTCCCTGGCCCTTCCACCATGAAGGTTTTGTGTTAGAACCAGCTGACCACGGAAGGAAGCTTCTGAAAATGTGAGCGAAGATAAACCGCTCCTCTTTTAAGTTGTGGGTGGCAGGTATTTTGTCCCAGAGATAAAGAAAGTAACTAAGACACAGATTAAGAAAGTGTTTAAACACATTCCCGGCAGAAGAACTGGTAACAGCCTTACTCTTCTTCTATTCAGGTCAATTTTGAAAAAGCAAAATTCATTTTAGAATTTGCTTTACAGGAACCATTTTTCTTTCTAGTGTCTATTCTGTGAACAAACATCAACATTTCCTTTTGTTTTCCCATTCTCTATTTCACCTTGTCATTACTACAGCCCTACTATAATCAGTAAACTAGAATAACTATTTACCTAGCCTTTTACTGTATTCAATATTAAACATAACTAGAGCTGGGAATATAGCTTAGTGGTTCTGCTGCCTTACTCACAAGTGCAAGGTCCTGAGTTTGATCCCCGGTACCAAAAAACAAATCAAAACAGAAAAACCGAGATGATTTAATGGGAAGATGTATGTAGGTTACATGCAAACATTGTGCCATTTCATATGAGACGTGAGCATCCATGGATTCTGGTATCTGTGAGAGGTCCTGGAACCAATCACTCCTAGACATCAAAACCTGGAGGAACACTGAGAGACTCATTTTCCCCTTTGTGTCCATCCCAGACCTGAGTAACACAGATTTTCTCTGGCCACTTTGCGCCTCACAGGGATCAGCCCACAGCATTCAAAGCTGTTGCGGGTGATGAAGGGCTAGATATCTTGAGTTTCTCTGACAGAATTCAAATAAATGCTGTCTCTGTGCTGATCATTATTAGTGACCTTTAGGTTTAAAACAAAACAGATTCTTCACTGATGTGTTTTGTTTTGGCTTTAGTATCAGTGACATTGTAGCCTTGCCTGGAATTTCCTTCAACTCTGCAAAACACCTTTTCTTTATTGGACGTATCCAGTATCTTGATTTGGAAAATTGAATTTTAAGCAGGTAAATTTCCCTAGTTTGGCGCAGAAAAAAAAGGAGTAATTGTTCTTTAAACTAAGGTTAAAATTTAAATTTTATATTAATTAGAAAAATCACCTCTCCCATGAAGTGTGACTCCAAGAAAGTGTCAAGTGAGAGCCTACTTGGAAATCATGGCCCTGTGGAGGCAGATTTCATAACAGAAAACATTTGTGTAACCTGAACTCAAGTACTTTCCACTTGTGAATTACACAATATGCTCTGTGGGGAGTGTTAATGAATACATCTCTTTGCACAGCTGAATAATATTTTCACATCTCAGAAAAAATACCCAGAAAGTTCTTAGAACTAAAGTGTTTTAATTACATAAAATCCTTTACCTTGCATTTAAATTTAAAAAAAAAATAGGAATTTCTAAACAGCTGCTAAAACTCAAGAACATATTATTTATTTTGGAGCCATAAAGAGACCAGTTTTTATCCTAACTTGAATTACTTTTCAGACACATTGAACCATTATTATAACTTTTAATGAACACCACTGTCCTTGCTTTAGAATTCCCCTGTGATCTGTCCACATGTCTTGCAGAGAGAAAGACAGTACACCAGCCCATTGCCAGAAATTTAGCCTGAAGGGCTCCACTTAACAACTTTCTACTGCCTGCAGAAGCAAGATAAAAGGCTCTCATAGCTGCTGCCTCCACCCATTACTGCAATTCAGGGCTCAAAAGGTTTACCTGCCCTGTCTTGGCAAGATTAGAAATAGCAGCTTCTGAATATGGCTTTGTATGTCTATTCTGCTGACTCATATAAAATCAGGTAAAGGTGTTCACGCAGCTCTCTCCTTCTGTAACAGAATTCCGGTGTTTCTTCCTGTGTCCACACACATTTAGCCTACTTCCCTCAAGTGTTTCCTCTCAATCCAGACAGATTATTAGATGTGCATCTGCTTCCCCCAGCTCTTTCATGCCAGATGTTTGAGATACCTTTGCTAGGGTGACATCAACTGGAAAAAATTGGAACTAGAATGTCTAAGCATCATGGAAACCACCAAATTCACACCTCTTCTCTACATTCCTTACAAATGTAGAAATAATACTGTGTAAGTACCATAAAAATAGTCCCAGCTGGATTTTAAAAAATGCCTTTTCCAATTCCAGTACAAATAATAAAAATAACTTCTAAAATGTACATTAATAGCCATCATAACTGACTAGTCCATATGTTTTGGTTTACACTTTGGAAAATATACTGGCAATCATAAGAGGGAGTCCTAGTTTGGAATTTTTAAAACTTTTAAAAAGTAGATTTCTAAAAAAGTCATATTGAGGCAGGAGATTACCATACCTCAAAGCAGCTAAACAAATCGGTGTGACCTGTTGGATCCGGGAGACCTGCGCCCAAGCCCTGTCCGTGGAACCAGTCAGAAAATGCCGTCTCAACTTCACCTCCCAAGAACTCAAGCAACAATGAAACAATTGTCGGAGCAGAATGATGTATAGTCTCTATTCATGTTCCTCACCAAAGATATGTGAAAATGATCTTCTAGATATAAAAAAATGCAGAAAAGAGAGAAAAAATTCATTTCAGAAAACATTGCTTCTCAACTGTAACTCTTTCAGATTTCTAGCATAGTAGTTAGTAAACTGAGACTGACCTTTAGCAAGAGTATATCCAGTTTCCATAATGAATCTAGCTTCCTCCACTCCCAGTGGGTCCCACATGGTGATACAAATTCAAACACTGTTCCTCTGAGAGAGAAGACAGAGTCACAGATGTTGCTAATGACTCCAAAATTAAATAGCTGGAGGAAAGCATGGCATCTTCACAGATGAAATGAAAACGCAGCAATACTTCGGTTTGTCTTTTCAAAGATATGTGGCATTATTTGTTTCTCAGAAAGGATAAGATATGCTACTTTTGTTTTACAAAAGAAGTAAGAAATACTTCAATAACACCAACTAAATACCAGAGAGGATGTTTTCTAGTGGCATTAGTTTATGAAATATACATCGTTGGATATTTCAACCCTAAACCTAGTTAGATGAATGATTTTTACCTCTGAAAGCTTTCCGACTTCCTGTTTGCTAAATTCTTTGGAAGCTTATTGCTCTCAAATAATTCACTGATAGCTAGGCTTCTGTTGAGATTTTGATAAGAACTTGCCATAAGAATTCCCCTTGGCAGCTGCTTTTTTTCAGCTTATGAAACAGGAAAGCAATAGGAAGAAAAGGGCTAAAGGTATAGGGAAATGGGAAGGGTAGGGGAAAGGTAATAAGGGAAAAGAAAAAAAAACATGAGAAAATGAAAAAATGGAAATAAAGTATCTGTAAATAGGGAAGGGAGGAGGGGGTGAAGGGAGGGCAGGGATAAGGGGAAAAAATGGGAAGCAAGATCTGTCATGTAAAGGTACAAGATCTCAATGATGAATGTAACTATACCATATATCTAAAATGTACCAATAAACTCAATGAGAAAAAAAAATGAAACAGGAAAGGTTAGTATGACTCCTGAGTCCTTGAATAATATCTTTGCTGGAGGGTAATACTGCCACTTTCAGATCTAAACACCAAAAACCTTGACTTAAAAACTAAAATATCACAAATGGTCTGATTTCTTTCACTTTTTCCAGCCAATACCCCTGATATTAGTAAATATGTCTTTGTAATGGGATTTGGGATCAATTAACAACTCAGCTAATTTGGAAATACAAATTTCTACACAGAATATGCTTAAACACAAAATAGTTTCCACAAAGTTACATTTTGATTTGATTTTCTGTCATTAAAAAAATCAATTCTTTAGGACTTGGGGTTTAGCTCAATGGTAGACTACATGCTTAATGTGACTGAAGCCCTAGGCTCAATCCTCAGTACTGAAAAACAAAAACAAACAAAACAAAACAAAATCACATATTAACTGGGCATGGTGGGTGTGTTATTCCAGCACTTGGGAGGCTGAGACTAAAGCAGGAGAATCTTGAGTTGAGGCCAGCCTGGGCCACATAGTGAGCTCAAGCCTGGCTTGGACTACATACTGAGACTCGGTCCCATCAAGGCAAAATGAATCAAATGGATTATGGCAAAGAATTTAGCACTACAGTAATGAAAGTCTACCTTTCCCTTGTGGTTCCTATTATCCAATAATGAATCACAGCAACAAGCATATACTATACTAACAAAGAACATTCCTACAAAATATACAAGGTTTTACACAAATTGTCAGATAAAATATAGTCATATAAAATGTATTTTAAAATCTTAAATGGATATAATTTCCCTGTCAAGTAGATAAACATGTGATCATAAGATTTCCAATGTTCAGTTGATTTTTTTCTTTATTCATTTTCCATTGATACTGCCAATAATGTGTTATCAGCAGATCTAGATTTTGAAGGAATTATATTCTAAACAGCCATTTAAAAATCAGTTCTACAGTACAGTAATTTTTCTTTGTCTATAAAACAAAGTGATATAAGATCCTATCGATATTTATTTTGAAGATTAATGCCCCAATACAACGCTGTACACATTGTAATAGCTAAGGTTAAAAAATGTATTCCCCTCCCCACAGGGAGAGGGCCAAGCGATCAAATCTTTGCACAGATCTGAACCACAGGCTAATACCATGAATAATGCTCCCTGAAACCTGGAGAAAGATAGAAGCCAGCTCTATCCTCTTTCCCATGCTAAGGAAGTCAGACTTTCTTCCCTAAGGGTAATAAGAAAATAAGAAATAATGAAAGTGTTTTAGAATCAACCTCTCTCTCCCTCTTTCCCTCCCTTTCCAGTACTGGGATTGAACCCAGGGCCTTCACAATGAGCGGCATCCCTGACCCCGCCCCCCACCCTTTTTGAGACAGGGTCTACACTGCCAAATTGCCCAGGCTGCGCTCCAACTTTTGATCCTCCTGCTTTAGCCTCCGACAGAGTGCAGGGATTAGTTCTAAAACCTGGTTTGACAGAATCACATGTCCTCGTTACTAAAATGTATTCCTTTGCCGTAATCTGTGACTATTATTTCTTGTTAAATAGTTGCAAGGGTTTAACACAAAGGTTTACCCATCCTCCTTCGGAGGTTCCTTTGACTAAATATTTTTCAGAAATATTTCTCCTTTGTAATTTGAAATTTAAGTAAGAATAATAGTTTCCCTGGTGTGAATAATCTGCAATAATACATAAGATTCTAATAAGATTACTGACATTTAGAAATGGGAAGAAAGGAGCTAAAGGTGTAGGGAAGGTGGGATGGGTAGGGGAAGGGTAATAAGGGAAAAGAAAAAAATGTGAGATAATGAAAAGATGAAAATAAAGTGTTTGTAGATGGGGAGGGGAGGAGGGGGTGAAGGGAGGGCAGGGACAAGGTGAAAAAATGAGAACCAAGACCTGTCATGTAGTGGTACAAGATCCTAGCAATGAATATAACTGTACTGTATCCCTAAAATGTACCAATAAACTCAATTAAAGCTGAAAAAAAAAAAAAGAAATTTAAGAACACCCCCCCCCTTCTTCCTATATGAATGCGGCTTTTCAGAGCAAACAGTATGTAAAATTTTGCCAACAGCTGTACTTACAATATTTTATTTCTATACAACTTTATAGTAATATATCTGATACTTCAAAGCACTACCTCCCATTTGGTAAACAGAAATTAGTAATCTTGCGCTGGGGATGTAGCTTAGTGGTACAGCTCTTGCTCTACTATGTGTAAGGCCCCTTCTGGGTTTAATCCCCAACATTGCAAACAAACAGAACTTGCTTTTAAGAACCTTTCTCATCACAGAGACACAGCACCTGACGCCCGCACCCGAAAGGAGAGGTTTACCTCAGTCCGTGGGTGTAGTCCATGGTCCGCTGGCTCTCAGGCAGTAAAGACCCGGTGGCAGGGCCTGGAGCAAGAGGCTTCCGTCATGGAGGATGCGAAGCCGAGAGAAGGGAGAGCTGGGAAGCAGATTCGCCAGTGGGGGCCACGCCCTCAGTGACCCTCCTCCAATCGGTTATCGCCTCCACACAGGCCTCACCCGCTAAGCCCTCCGCTGTAGCCTGAAAGACCCAATCACCTTCCCCAAGGCACTCGGAGCAAGAGGCTTTTAGCATCCTTCACCCCGTGACACAGTTAAGGCTTGGTATGATTTTGTAGATGACATTGTTTCATCAAAGATGTTTAAGTAAGCTTCTTTATGATTATTTAATTTTTATGGAAAAATTCAGATACTCAATGGAGTAGTACAATAAACCCCCGTGTGGTACCCCCCCCCACCGCCTCCAACCAGTTTCAACAGTTTTAAAAACACAGGACTATCCTGTACTATTCCTTTTTTTTTTTTTTTTTTGTACTGGGGATCGAACTCAGATCCTTGTGATGGCGTGGCAGGCACATTTCTCCTTTTTTCCTTCCCTTTCTTAAAAATTTCGGACTGAAGATGTAGTTTGACAGTTCTTGCTTAGCACACGTGAGGCCCTTGCTGGTCTGAAACGTTTGGAAGCAAATACAAGATACAGTATTATTTCAACTTTACTCAATATATGTTTATTTTAAAAATCCTTTCCTTCATATAATCACATCGCTGTTATCACACACACACACACACACACACAGCTCATCAGTATTTTTGAATATCCAATGTTCTAATTTCCACATTTACTTCAATTTCTTATTTATATTTATTTATTGTAATTGTAATTGGGATCCAAAAAAGAGGACATTATAGATAGCATCACTTTTCCTTTTTAAGAGATTTAAGAGCAAATTTTGGCATAAATTTCTATGAAAGTGAATATATATATATATATATATAGAGAGAGAGAGAGAGAGAGAGAGAGAATCAATAACTTATCCAAGTATTTTATTGCACTCATATGTAGTGACTGCGATGACACCTATAAAAGCAGCATAAGTGTTAATTATTATTTGTGTCATGGAATAAAGATTCCAAAATTAACTACCTTCTTAGCAGTCATGACAAAGTGCTTTTCTCAGATTAGAAAAATTTTCAAATACCACTGACATTGCGATAATCGTAGAGTTAAAACTGTTATTTAAAGACAAAATATTTTAAAATGGCATGACCAGCCTGTGAACTGTTAGGCTTTGAAACAATTACAGCAAATTGACAGTAACCTAATGTCTCTGAAACCTAATAAATTTTAAAAATTGGGCATAATTTTATTCTCATAATCGCTTTTATCTTTTTTTTAATTTGAGATAGTCTGGCCTTGAACTCACTGTGAAACCCAGGTTGACCTGGAACTCTGTGATCTGCTTCAGCCTCCTGATTGCTGGTATTACAGTCATGTGCTACCACACCTGAGTAGTTTTTAACTTACTGGATTAGAATTTACAGAACTTCCTGTGCCCATTTGAAGTGTACATTTTAGCTGGGAACATTACAGACACCTAGTAATTTGAGCTATCTGAGATGCTGAGGCAGGATGATTAATAGCTTCAGGCCAGTCTGGGCAATTGAGCATGACTCTGTCCAAAAAAAAAAGAAAGTTGGGGATGTATAGTGGTGAAACACATGTCTTTCAAATTTGCCCATCCATCAACAAAGCACAATAGAGGGTCCCATCCAGAAAATCATCCCTATCCTGAACCCTGCCCAACCAGATCTCCTCTCTGTTAAAGATTAGACACAGCACGAGGTCCTGGGTTCAATCCCCAGTACCAAAACAAATAAAGACTGGGCATTACATTTTTAGACATGTTGGTATGGCAGCTGTTTACTCTTTTTTTGGTGAGTAGTATTTCTATTGTATGGGTCTTCACAATTTTATCAGTCCTTTGTTAATGGACATCCCAGTTGTTTAGTTCTGATTATGAATAAAGCTGCTATCCCACTAGCATATCAATCTTCCAGTGGACGTTTTCTTTCAGGTACAGGTCTAGGATTGGAATTGCTATTTTCTTTGCCGTTCCATTTTCTTCCTGGTAAATTCAAATAATAGGTTTGTAACATTTCTAAAGTTTTCTTAAAAATGGTTTTCCTTTTTTAATGTGTTATCTATGAAATCTTTGTCTACCCAAGGTCATGAAAAATTCCTTTTAGCCTTTATGATTAAGCATGTATTTTGAGTTAATATTTATGCCTAACAGGCAATGGCTGGGCTTCATTTTTCTATAAAAACATATCTAGTTGTTCCATCCTTTCCCTATTAGATTACTTTAGCACTTGTCAATTAACCACGTACACGTGAGTCTATTTTTGGATTCCATCCTATTCTTTGATCTGTATCTATGCTTCTCAGTGCCATAATGTCATTACTATAACTTTATATAGGAAGCTTTATACCAAGGTCCTGTTTTTTTTTCTTTTTTCCCCAAAACGTTTTGGCTATTCTGGATCGTGTTTACATATATTTTATAAATGCCTTGACTTCCCCATTCCTCAAAGACTACCAGAATTTCAATTGGAATTACACTATTTAGGGATATTTAACATTTACAATGTTTATATTTTATAAAATTTTCAAAATTTTCAATCCAACATTATGATATATTATCTCTCCACTTACATTTTCATTTCTTAGCAAGTTCTATTTTCATCAGGTAGGCACAGATTTTATTATATTTGTTCATTATTTCATGTGAATACTATTTTAAGTAGTGGCTTTAGATTTTTATTTCCAGTTACAGGTTGCTAGTACGTACAAATAAAACTGAATTTCGTAGGCTGACTTTGCTAAAATCAGCTAATTCCTTCTTTAGAATTTTTAACATTTATGATCATCATCCTTTGTGAAGTCATTTCTTACAGTACGTATTTTTTCATTTCCTTATTTCACCAGGCTAGGATCTTCAGTTCGAGGGTGGATGAAAATGGTAACAGATAGCTCAATGCCTTTTCCCAAATGTTTGGAAGAGAAGACAAACCATGCTGTACAAAGTTAGCCACAGGCTTGTTCCAAATTGAGGAAATTCTCTAATAATAGTTTGCTGGGTTTTTATCATGAATGGATGCTAAATTTTACGGATATTTTTCTGCAGCTGACTATATTCCTTCTCCACTTTAATTTGATAAACTGTATTTTTAAATTTAGTAATTCATTTAAAAAGTTTAATTCATTTTTACAACTGTGACTTGAAAATAAGTGTCCCTGCACAGAAAACTTTAAAAGCAATGAGTTGCTTAGTAAAATGCATTTTCAGTAAGTTCTAGTCTTGTAAACCAAACTTCAAAGTCATACACAAAAAAACTGAAGTCTTGGGACAACAAATATAGTATCCTAGCTGATGATTTTCATCATTTCAAACTAGAAAATACTTTTAAAGCAATCTATTTCACATGAACATTTCCTTTATTTAATCATGTCTCAATGTGATCACTGCTTGCTGATACACAAAGGCAAAGGTGTCGTTCTCTGCAGAACCATCCCATTCTTCTACACTCTTGTGATGTCTGAAGCACCCTGTGGTATCAGCCAACATGGACCCCCCAAAAGACTAGGCTAAGGAGTTAATAGTTTAACAGTCATCACCCTTCTGAGAAGTATTCAGTCTTACCGGTCTACCAGTTACTATTATGACACAGTTTAGCTCTATGGATGGAAGTTCATTAGCTTTTTTAGAGACTACCCTCTCTTTAGGAAGTGTGTGGGGACTGTCAAACTGAAAAGCTGATAGTTTCTAAGTAAAGAAATAATACAAAAATCAGATGTACAGTACATTAAAAAAGGAAAGATTTTTCCTCAAGCAAATAGCCCAGGAATTTGAGGCTTTCCAGGAAAAAAACATTCAACACAGGAACATATTGTATAATAATTTTATTTTTCTCATTTTACTATTTTTACATTTTATGCAAATATTATCTGAGTAAAAATAGAAAATAACTGTTTCATGTAAAATTACAAAAAAACACAAAGAAATACATAATTGTTATTGTGATAGTATAAGTGTCTTTATTTAAAGAGTAAAAATGTATGCAAAAATCCTCCTCCCATTTACAAAAGATTGAGAGTATTTTTTATTTTCTGGCAACAAGTGAAATATTGACATATTAAAATTTTATAATCTTTAGATCTGAAGATATTAAGTCAGGTCTGTTTTCCAAGTATGAATTTTAAAACATTTTTGTGCTATATCAAAGATACACTAATTCTTTATAAAAGGCAGTAGCATAAAATAATGAATGCAGAAAACAGACAGCCTCACCAAAAATATCTGGAGGCAAACCCTTTTAAAAGAAATATTGTATTTGAGTATTGCCATTAATCTGCGGAGAAAACAATTTAACATTTTTTCCTTATTAATTGACATGGATCGATACTACAATCAATGTGATTAGTTGGCTCATATGAAGATGAACCATACATTACAATTCTGTCTAATATGATTTTTCCAATGCCATCATAAATTTTCAGACTTCAGGCTAGCAAGATAATGTATGAAAGTTGGCTCAATGTGAGATTCAGATAGGAAAAATGGTTTAAAACAAAAGTGGGTATTTCATTGTTCTTGTACCTCTAAGGTATGAAAAGATCAAAATCCTTGTCTACCTTTAAATGTATTCTACACTCTCATGAAAAATTTACAACACAGCAAATGAATAGCATGAATTATATTTTCTTGCATAACACAGGTTATTTTTTAATAGAAGAAAAGACTACGTAGCAAAGTGTATCCTCAATAAGAATAACATATTTATATGTAAGTTGAGAAAACCAATGAAATCCTTTGAATCAATTGGAGAAATTAGTCACATTACCTGTTATAGTGCATAAAATGATGGTGGAAGAGGTGAAAAAAGAAACAGCATCTGATCATGTATAACAACTGTTCAAATTATGAAGAATAAAATTAAAAATATTCAAGGAAGAAAATGGATAAAAATGTAGTTTAAAAAAATCTAGGGAATACTTAAAAGAGAAAAAGAAGTTTGATTTTTAGGAATTCAAAAGAAATGTGGGTCTTCCTGCCTTAAAACATATACACATGTAGAGGACAAAGTCTGTCTTCTTGGCTAAAACTTCTAACATAAAAGTATTTTCCATCTAAAAGTCAAGATTCTTGAGAGCCTGATAAACCAGATTTATTTAAATCAACTCCCTACGCTGTTAGAAGATGGTGCAAAATATTATTTACAGATACCTATTTCTTATCTAAAGTTAGGACTTCTAAAATATATTATTTCATATTGTTATTCTACTGAGATATTCTTAACATCAGTGTCCAAACTGTATTAGTAATTTGTCAGTCTGCTGTCTGTTTATAAAAAGGTAAAAATGAAAGGATACAAATGTTATTCTTTTTAGGTATTTATGGCAGAATATTAAAGAATTTAATACAATAAAAATGAACAATACATGCTACACTTCTTTAGCATAGCACTTTAAATTATGACAAATTACGAGAAAGAGACGAGAAAGGCTTCTTCCTTTCCTTAGGATCCCTGCCTCCTAGGACTCACTCCAAATCCTCCAATATTGGTAACGCCGGCTGGCCTGCAACACCATGGCTCCTCCTCAACAGTCAACAGCATTGACTAAGCTCTTATAAAGCTGAGCTCTTATAAAGAGCTTTGGGGAATGAATTTAAAGGAAATGATAAGGGAGAAGATGTATAGGGTAGCACTTGAGGAACAACTTTCTGATAGAAAAGCTAGTCCCTCATTCCATGATTCATGCAAAACACCTTGAAACAAAGCAAAGGAGAAAAGACATACTTTGTAACTATGTTTAGTGTTAGCTCACAGTAAGGAATTTCATGTAAGAATTACTTAATTTTAAAGATTCTTAAAATAAATTATGTAATACCCTTTTGAATATCTATGTCTTCACACATAATGTGAACATATAAAGTGGTATATCAGACATGTATATATTTGTATATCATATATAATATTCAAAAGGAAAAGTGGAAAGTTTTGTTTTAAGGAGTAGACTGCCTAAAATGGAGGTAAAGATTTTCCTTTTACAATTATTTGCAAGTAATTTACTAACATTTTGAAAGGTAAAGTATTGCTGTCTGATTTAAAGTCTTCATCTCATCAGAAACACGGGAATATACAAGTTGTTCTGCACAATAAACAGGCACTACAGACTAGTTAAAAATAAAAGGAAGTCATACCAAACAAAACAACGTTTATTTTATGGCTGAGGTAAACTTTTTTCAAATTTTTTTAAATCTCTGAAAGGAAAAACAGAGATCATTTTAGAACTTTTGTAATAGCTGGGTTATTAGAATTAAATGCCTCACTCAAAATAATTTAAATCCTTGGCCTGACATAATGAATAATCTATACAGACAACCCTTAACACGGGCTTGAGTTAAGCCCGATTTAAACCTGGATCTCATTCAGTACTGCTCCTTTGCTAGTCAACTTATTGTCCTTTACTTCAAATATATAAATTATTTTATAACCTGATACTCTTAGTTTAGTAGTTTATTAATATTATTAATTGTATTTGATATGAACATTTTAGCTGCTTGATTAGATGCAACAGGCACACGCTTTAGCTAAGAAATTCCATTTTCTGGTTCTATGTAAAGCAACATCTAAAGCAGCAGAAAAGGGAAACAGTTACAGTTTAAAAATAGTTAAACCAGACTGTTTCCTGGTATACTTCAGTTATTTTTCACCTTTAGGATGCTACTGGCTGTTTTTGGTAGGGCTAGACATTAATACTGACCAGTTTAGCTTTCCTGACTGTTTAACAAACTATCCCACAATGAAGCTGCTTTCACACTGCAGACACTGTGGTGACCCTTTAACACACACATATGCTAAAATATATGCTCAAAGTAAAAAGATCCAAGTTCACAAGAGTATGAAATATCTATAAAAAATCATGCATCAGATTGTACAGTCTAGAAATAAAATATTCAAATTCAGTAACAAAGGTAAGAGCAATGCTTGCTCTAATATTTAAGAAAGACCTTAGATTCCCAGCAGCTCCTGAACCTCAATTATCCTTTTCAGTTTGTAGAGAAGCAGTGGCCAAGGCTACTGCTGTGACTGGCTGGGCAATTCCATGCAGCTGCATCTTTGCAAGTTTCTTCTGTTCACATTCTGTGACCAAGCGGTTGAGTTCTGCAGCACTGTAGCCAATAAGAGTCTTCAAGTCACAGACAAATTTGTACACAAATCTCTTGCCTTGAACCTTACAAATCATGTCCCCATCATAATAATACCTTTAAAAATACAAAAATACATTAAGCGTATATAAAAAAAAAATGAAGAATGTGTACTTCCTACATTTCATGGACTATTCCATAAGCAAAAGCCTAGTACAGTACTGTATCCACCACAGCCACAGTTAACAAGGTTATGGAGAATATGAGTATTTAATAATACCATCCAAGGAAACTCCAAAACATTATTTGCTAAATTTCAATGCTAAGTACTCCAAAAGTTTACTATTTATGGTTCAAAGAAAATTCTCAACAATTTAATAAAACATTTGACTTAAAAACAAACCTAGTAAATAAAGGCAAAATGGAAATCTGGGAGGGGCAGCAGAATCTGTGTCAGAAAGTCAAGACTCAAAACCTAGCACTTGGATTTCTCACCTTTGAGACCACAGGGGGAAAAAATCCCATTTCCTCTAAGCTTTTATTCCTCATCTATAAAATTATGTTAAAAACAGTATTTATCCTAACAGACTTACTGAAGATTAAAGGGGTAATCTTTATGAAGTACTCAGCACACAATGTACTGGCACAAAATTAACCCTCTATAAAATATAAGCTACATTAACAATCCAGATAATAAAAATATTTTTAAATGCACATCCTATCCATTGCTGAGATGTCCACTTTTCTGTCTTGTATAAAATCCTACATGGTGTAGATATCGCTTTATCTTTATCACTGTACCATGTACATACTCTTCAAATTTCAGAGAAATAATCCAAACCCAATAGGGGCTTCAAAAGAGTAAAAAGGTGTTAAAAGAATAGGATACAGAAAAATAAGAAAATGTCTTTATTAAGAAACACTGTATCTAAACCTTCATAAGCACATTTGAGAAAAACATTGTAGAAGTCTCTCTATGGAGAAACAGTTACGGTAACTTTGCAAAACAGACTTCATTTGCCACTATACACCAACAGTTCCAATATGGGAGAAAATATAAGTCAAACTCTTTTCTAGCCTGGCAGATTGTGAAGTATTTATTTCAAAATTGCATTGCCCATTATTAAGCAATGACTCTTTGCAAAAGTACATGTATGTAAACTACCACATTTACCAGGATTTTATTCTGAAATTCACTCAGCTTAATACAGTGTCCATTAATGAACCCTGACCTATAAGCAGGAAATTATGTCATCTTTCTCTAATTCCAGAACAGCAAATTATAACAGTCATGTCTGATTTCTCAATAAGAGGCACTTAATACATTGGGTAGTCTTGTGTTTTAATATGGAATTTGAATCTCAATCCACAAACCAACTGCTTGTCATGTGAATGCTGTGGGCACTCCAAATTCTTAAGAAAATTTCTATATTAACATACAAGGGTTTAATAAATGTCAGTTGGGAAAAAGGGAAATAGAGAAAGAAAGTAGTTTTACCTTCCCAGGAGGAAAATGAAATTGGTATAATCATGTTTCTTAGTAAGAGGTAAAGGAATACACACAAATTTTAATTTTACTTAGTACTTCTTTTCTTCAATCTAGTGGATGCATCTCAGAAGTATATATAGCAACATTCACTGTTATCTGTTCTGTCCCTAAAATGAAGAAAGTATGCTGGGTGTGGTGGTGCATGCAATTCCAGAGCAGGCCAGCCTAGGCAACTCAGTGAGACACTCTTACAATGAAAAGGGCTTGGAATGTAGGTCAGTAGCAAAGTGCCCTGGATTCAATAATCAATCCCCAGAATCAAACACACACCCCAAAACCCAAACCAAAAGAATAAAAAAGTAAAAAAAGGTACACAGCACTTGTACTTTCATGGATATGATTTCCTTTTCTCTTTCCCTTGTTTTTTTTTTTTAACTTGAACTTTTTATATCTTTTTATGAAATATATCAGTCTTCTGAAAAGGCACAAATGTTAACTCGAGATTTATTACACAGCAAACATTTGGCGGTTTTAACAGAACACAGCAGCACCTAGAATCTCTACAAGCCTGCTTCATAACAGTAATTTCATTGTGTTGCTTTATATTTATTAACCAAATATGTATCCCCAAGAGCTGTAATTTACCGTTCCTGTTTTTTAAAGCTTTATTAAATAAATGGACTGATACAATATGTAGTCTTTTGGATCCCTCCCATCCACATCAGTTTACAGCAGTTCATTTTTATGGATGCACAGTACTTGACTGAATAAATATACACAACAAATTTATTCCCTCTACTGCTGATAGATATTTGGATGGTTTCTGATTTCTGGACGTCATCAAGAAGCCATGTGTGTGGCCATTCATGGATATTTCTGTTTGGTATCTAATTAGCAAATCAACTGTTGGATGACAGGTTATACACTTCCTCTGAAAGTATGGAAGCATTCCCAGTGCTCCATGTCCTGGCTAACACTTGCAACTGGCAATCTTTTTCATACTGCAGTTCTGGGAGGTGTGTTGTACCCATGTCACTATGGTTTCAAATGCATTTGCTTGATTTCTAATGAGATTGGTCACCTTTACATATTTAGCCATCTGCATATCCTCGTACCTGAAGTGTCCCTGTAAGTCTGCTGCCCATTAAAACACTGTTTTCCTATCAATTACAGAAGTTTCTTCAGATGTTTCAGATACAATTTTTGTCAGATATGCACAGCTTGACAGCTTTTGATGACCAGAAGTTCTTCATTTAAATGTGGTTAAATTTACTGATCTTTTCCTTTAAGATTAGTTCTTTTAGGAAGTGGGAAGGGTAGGGGGAAAGGAAATAAGGGAAAAGAAAAAAATATGAGAAAATGAAAAAATGGAAATAAAGTATTTGTAAATAGGGAAGAGAGGAGAGGGTGAAGGGAGGGTAGGGGTAAGGGATCAAAATGAGAACCAAGACCTGTCATGTAAAGGTACAAGATCCCAATGATGAATGTAACTGTACTATATACCTAAAATGTACCAATAAACTCAATGAGGGGAAAAATAAAAAGATTAGCTCTTTTAATTTTATTTATATGTATTTCCTCATTGCCTGAAGTTATGAAGTCTTTAGACATTTTACTTTTTTTAGTGGTTGGAGCTAGAAGCTCACAGAAATGATTTTTGGTACAGTATGAGGAAGTGGTCAGTATCAACCCCCTACCTCAGCCTTCAAAACAGACTAGACCCCAGTGCTGCTGACTGAAAAGGTTTTTCCTTGTGCTTTTTTTTTTGAGACAGGGTCTTACTATATATAGCTCTGGCTGGCCTTGAACTCACTATATAGCCCAGGCTGCCCCTCAAATTCACAACCATGCCCAGCCTCAGTCATTTCTTTAAATCAAATGCCTCTACTCTCTTGGTTATACCTGTACTTCCTTTTCAACTCTATGGTCTATCTTTAAACAAACAGCATACTACATTATTATGGACACAGTGACAACTATGAATTCTAACGGAAACAAAAAGTCATTCAGGAAAAGAAAAATGGTCACAGCAAATTATCTAATAGTCATAATTTTGTACCACTGAATACTAATCTGAGCAAAATCTCCATATCATCAAGTTGTAATGAAGAGATCAAAGTGGTGTTTGTGTATAGTTCTGAGAGCGAAACATCTTGTCTGAAATTCATATACACTGGTCAGGTGAAATGTGAAGGAGCAATAAAAGCATGTTGTTTAGAAATACGGAGACAAGCTGTACAGCTATTTCATTATATTCATTCTTCCCAAAGGATATGCAAAATTCTGTGAGGTTCTCCTTCCCAGATACTATGAATTTCCATCACTGTAGCAAGTATGATTTCTAATGGTGTCATATCCAAAAAAGTTCACACTACTTAGGGAAAATCACAAGTAATTTTATTCTATCCCACTTTCACTAATGTAAAGGCTGGAGGTTCAGATTTAGGGAGACTGCAGGAGGAGAAAAAAAGGGTCAATATTTTGCATCTAACTATAAAACAGAAAATAGTACCCACACAGTTGTTAAAATTTACATTCACTCAACTTACACAAATGACACACACTCTTTTTCTGTGCGGTATTGGAGGTTGAACCTAGGGCGTGTGCACTGAGCTACATTCCCAGTATATTTTTTATTTTGAGGCAGGGTCTCACTAATGTAACTAAGTTGCCCATGCTGGGCTTGAAAGTGGGATCCTCCTGCCTCAGCCTCCCAAAGTGCTGGGATTATAAGAATGTTCTACCACACCCAGCTAAATGAGAGTATATTTTTCTCATATGCAAATGATAATCTCAAAGATGAAACATGTTGGTAAAGGCAGAAAAACTTAGAATAATCTTTAAAAAACTTATTACATCAAAATTATTAATAAGGTTCTTTTGTAAAAGGTAGTTTTTACTATATATGTATAAAATTTTATTTTAATATATAAAGAAAGAAAACATCTGTGAACAAATTGAGTATTTGAATATTACTATATAACAATGTTTATAACTAGAAAAAGTTACATTTTAGAAAGCTGATATTAAAAAAAGAAAAAAAGAAAAGGTGGTATTATAAACAAACAGGCACTAAATCCTTACCTTAAAGCACGACTGAGCTTCTCATAGTTCATTGTAGGCTTATTTTTGCGTTGTCCCCATTTTTGTGCAACCAGTTCAGGCTGATTTAGCTTAAACTCGCCTTCATCACCAACCCAAGAAATACAGTCTCGAGCATCCTTGTCAGTAAGAAGTTCTAACAAAAATTGCCATAGTTGGATTTGACCATTGTTTCCTAAATTAACAACAGGGATAAATATTGGCCATAGAGTTATAAACCAACACAGGGCAAAGGCAAGACACAGATGCCTCGGTTAAAGTTCAACTTTTGTTTTCACAAATCTTGTTTAAAGATTGACAGAGGAACAGTCCACATTCATATTTTCATACAGTAAAATAAAATATGCCTAACCTGACAAATTTTTAAAATACAGTACCAGTTAACATAAACATACCTGTTCTGTTCCCAGGAGAGCTTCTATCTTCTCCTGAAATCCTTGGAGCTCTTTGAACTTTAGCTGCCTTTGCACTACTATTTATAACTTTGATGGTAGTTGGTGTAGCAGACTGCACTGATGCTGGAATAATTTGCACAGCTACAAGAGAAACAAGGGGAATATTTTTTTCTTCTAATACAAACATTGTGAAAGATATTAAATGCAATCAACACTGATATTCTACTACATCAAGAAATGTCTTCTTTATAAAGGTATGGCATTCCACTGCAGCATCTTGCACTGCTAATTCATATTCATGTCCAAATCTTGGTAAGTAAGAGTGTTCTTGTTTTAAAAATAGCATCTTAGTATTGCATAAACATTAGACAAAGAATTATAAAAACATGTTCTTAAAAACATTTATTTATAAAAAAGTTTAACAAGTATTAGAGAAAAATGTGGTTAAGAACACACATCCCATTGCTAATGAAAATATGAACTAATATAACTAAGAAAAATTACGACACAACCCATTGAGGTTAAAAGTGCAAAAACCTGGTGATGCTATCTTATACTCTTTCAATGATATTCATATCATTTTAAAAAATACTATTTACTACAATGTGGGAAAGCTTTTAGTACACAGGATTATTGTAAAATACATGAGAGAATTCACATGGGAGGGAACCCTATGTATGTAAGCAATGTGGGAAAGCTTTTAGTACACATTATTGCAAAATGCATGAAAAAATAATTCACACAGGGGAGACACCCTATCTATGTAATTGATGTGGAAAAGCTTTTAGTACAAAATGTTATTGTAAAATGCATGAAAGAACTCACACTCAACATTAATTCTATGCATGTAAGAAATGTGGGAAAGCTTTCAGCATTTGGGGTGTCTGCCAAAGACACAATGGGAGAAAAAAACGTATGTATGTAAGCAAAGTTGGAATGCTTTCAATACACACATGTATTGTCAAAAACATGAAAGAAATCTCACTGGGAAGAAATTATATACGTAAGCCCATTTTGGAAATCATGTGAAAATTTCTTACGTAGTAGAGACCTGTAGGAGTAATACAAAAAGCTTGAGGTCAGTATTTCTCCGTAAAATTTCCAAAAATAAAATCCCAGATAGAAAGATCCTAAAGTACATACATTTGTTTTTCAGTAAATCACTTAAATATCTGAATTATGTATCTGTACTATTTAATATAAAAGCATTAAGTTGATATAGATTTTTTGTGTGTATCTTTAAGCTTAATACATGGTGTTTTAATTAAGCAGGGTGAATTAAAATGTACTTTTTACTTTCAAGTAGAATTAATATTTGTGTGGTTTTTATTTAGTCTACAATTTTGAAGGTATAGGCCATTATATTGTTAATTAGGATTTTGTGACTACTTTGTTTTAAATTTCTGGTGTGTATACTCTGTATTAAGTGTAACAAAAAATATTTTTGAATTTGCCATACTTTATATTAAGATAAATGTTTCAAAACTTGTTAACGTTTTTGACAAAGTTGACTTTTCACACAACTTGTACATGAGCCATGCTGTTTCTGATAATGACAAGATATCTGCTTATATCCCAATATTACATATTATGTACCTAATTTTTCCTATTTTTCTTTCATATTAAAGCTGATATTTTAAAAATAATATTTACCAGTAAAAATGAATAAAACTAAGCTGTATCTATAAGTCTCACAAATGTTGAACAAAAAAAAGTAAATTATAAAAGGAAATGAACAATATATAGTGTAATTTTACCCAAACTTTTATACCTGGTGCAGAACAATGTCCTAAGTGTTCATGGTTACATAGCTGGTAGAAATACAAGGTAGGCAGAGAATAATAAACATCACATTGAGGACGGTCAGTTCTCTACTCAGAGAAACAAAACTGGGATCTATGAATAGGTAAATTTGATATGGAAAGTTTTATGTTTTATGGTGTACACAGCTGTTAGTTATACTTTATTTCTCTGTATAGCTAAAATCATAAAAATTTTAAGTTTTTCTTTTTATTATCTTATAGTATCAATTGAAGAAAACATTTCCTACTGATAAATGGACAAATATCATGGGCATGAATACTCACGTTGATCAATTGTAACTATTTCATTCATCTGTTGTTCTTGGCTTGCCAACACATCTGAAGAACACACAAAAGAATTTTGTTTTCACTTATAACCAGAAATAAAACTCTCAACCCAATAAACTTCAACTTAATAAACATGACCTTTTAAAAGGGAGCTTCACAATTAAAAAAGCAATAAACCAAACAAAAATCAAATTATTAAACAAGTGAAATTTATTGAGACAAATACTCAGAAATACATGATTAATACTCTTATGGCAAATACTGTATCTTTAAGAGAAGCGACACTGGGAAAACTCTAACTAAATGTTCTGAAAAGTTATTCAAAGAACATTATTTTTCCTGGTACTGGAAATTGAACTCAGGACCTTGCATTTGCCAGGCAGGTGTGGCACTGCTGAGCTACATCCCATGCCCAAGAACATAGTTTTCTGAAATATAAGTACCTGTATCTAAATCTGTGTTATATTATACAAGGTCCTAATGTAATCCTTTATAGAACAACCACCTACTGTAAGTCTCTATCTGTCAAATGATAACTGTACATCCCAATCTCTTATTTCAACCCATCTAGTGCCCATCATAAACTCTGTTTCTCTCAAAACTGAACTCATCAGTAATAATTCTGGGTTCTAAGTAAGTTCTGGAAACCCAAAAAGACTAATAAGATTGCGATGTCGGGACCCAGTTCCAGACACAGTACTATAAAAGGTTGGGGGACAAAGAAGAGGTCTGAATCCCATGTATCAGATGCAAATTTTCTTTGGGAGAAGAGTTTGGAGTGCTAAAGCAACTATATGGGAGTAGCTTCAGACAATGAATCTGGGTTCAGATTTTAGTTCTAACTATAACTATGGTAAATTATTGTGAGGATTAAAGGAAAATTTAAAGAAGCACAGTGTAAAATTAACTTTTCAGTGAAGTGAACACTGTACTATTTTATGCAGATTTCTAGTTCTGAGTTTTATCTCCCAGAACTGTTAGCTCTTTTGAAGAGCATTCCGTGTCCTATGTTTGTGGTAGATTTTCCTCAGAATTTTGTAAAAGCACCTCAGAGGAAAAGTGCTAATTAAATTAAAATTGTTCCAACTGTAACTAAATGAATGGAGGTGTTCCAACCCCAAGAGCCAAAAGAGAAAATAGCCCAGGCAAGGTCAAACTAGAAAGTCAGCTTCGAAGCCTTTTTCAGACCATTTGGTCTATTTTTTGAAAATTCCCAAGACAGAAGGCAAAACACAGGAAGGAGAGTTCTGAATGCTTTAGACCAAGAACACATAAATACTCTGAGTACCATATTCCCACAGAACCCATATCATCTTGGCTATGGCACAAAGGAAGCAGTCTTTAAAGGCAAAGCTGGGGAATGGTGAGTCCTTTTGTGAAAAAATATTAGGCACTAAAGTTACAAAGCAATTCTCTTCCTTTAAAGAACACCCTTAATAAAATGAGCTTTGTCTTTGGTGACAGGAGACAGATATTCGTACCAAGAAACATGTTGTAGAACTGACAGTACAGAAAAATTCCCTCATTATCTCCCCTAGTATAGTGGACTTAGGTGAAGTTTCAACATATGGGGAACTGCAGGCAGGTGATAGCTCAGAAAGTAAATGATCATACATAACTGCAGAAAGAGCTTTATCTGTCCACTACTACACCCTCTGGATCAGTAAATGAAGATAACAAGCTCAGTCTGGCTCAGCAATCATTCAGAATTATTTGCATATTTCTCTTTATAAAAGGGACTAGAGTACTGAACTACTCAAAGGACCTTGTTCTGAAAAGTGAGATTTTGCAAACTGGGGAAAGTCTGCCAGAAATAGCCTTACAAATCATCCTGCCAATTCTACAAATTTTAAACCAAGCATGAAATCTCTACCAGATGGGATATCCTGCCAGAATGGAATGAAGAACCATGGCTGGACAAAGAAGAAATTATGTGAGACCCTTCTGTAGAGTGTGGGTCTTTGCTGAAAACAAAGCAACAATTCCAGAGCAGAGCTTTTCTGAGTAAGACTCCTTCTATTGCATGGAAATGGAAAAGATAAAGATTTTTTCCTTATTAGAAAAGTCTAGATACGAACTTTATAGTTTGAGAAGCATTTGGAGAACCAGAACAGACAACCACAACAGAGTTGACATGGGAGGTATTGGAAATATATTTGGGAAAATAAGCACTATCCTTATTGTGTTCTTGAGAATTCCTATAAGAAAATGTTTCAATAAACATGATTTTATGTAAAAAACTATCAAATGATAATTGCACATCCCAGTCTCTATTATTTCAACCCATCTAGTGAGCATCATATAAACTGTTTCTCTCAAAACTGAACTCATCAGTAATAATTCTGGGTTCTAAGAAAGTCCTGGAAACCCAACAATCCGGAATTTACCTCATTCAAAGAGTTATGCAAACAAAAAAATGTGAAACTAATGACAACAAGAGACTGAACTTATTTAATTATAAGTATTAGAAGTGGAAATAAGCCCTGTAAATGTAATGAACATAATCAGTTTTTCAGTGTGATACTTTAATTAGTATCTAAATGAATCAATACAAGAGTAAAACTATGGATAACTAATGTAGAATATCCAGAGCACATTTCCTATTTATTCAACACAAGAGAAAGCACTTCAGCTGAAAACGCTGAACACTAGATTACTCCAGGTCTCTCTTATGAAGATACTGTAGGAAAAAATATTAACTATTCTATTTTCATCTGTGATACAAATGTTAGAAAAAAAACCTAAAAACTGTAGGTCTGGCTTTTATCTCTCATACACAAAAGTGTTAGGAAATGGGCTGCTGCTAAGATGCCTTAATAGATGTCTACGTCTTAATTTAAAGTCACTGAAATATATGATGAATTAAAATTATAAAAAAATAATTTATTTGAGCCTATTTTTTGGGCAGCAAATCTGTTTCTAATTTTTCTACATAATAATAACTATAAAACATAAGTTGTAAGTGGAAACCCTTATATCCAGTGGCTTCTAATTACAAGCAGTGGGTTGTAAGATTTCTCTTCTTTCTCAAGATTCTTTTTTTAATTATTAGTAAAGAAATTAAAAAACATTTCATCCCATTATGAGAATGGGAGGGAAGCCACCTGTCAACAGTCAATTTTAAATTTCCAGGAGAGGAACAATAAAGTGAAGAATGGACTAATGAAACAGAGGCAATAAATGGAATACATGAAAAGAACTAGGGTAGAGCACAGGATCTGATTTAAGAATTTGGATTCTAGTGTAAGCCTGGGTTAAGATCCTGGTCCTGTCACTCCCTAGCTCTGTCATTTTGGGGGGCTATAAAAGACTCACTTTCCTATCTGAAAAATAAAGACAGTAATAATCTACAGCATTATTACAGGGATTAAGAATACATAGAAGAGATCTCAGCAATGCCTTATATTATTGCTTAACTGATTATTATTTAACTGCTTGTTATCAATGAACAATTAAGATGAAAAAATTATAAAGAAATAAGTTTAAATTACAAGATAAAATAAATGACTCTAGTTTTATACATTTTCGGAGAAGCTCCAGATGACTCCAGAGAATTTCTCCCCGAGGCACTCGTTGAAAGAAATCTTCTTGGTTGAGACTACATAATTCTCTTCCCGAAATGTTGAGTGTGGTGAGGTCTATATCAGTCATGCTGAACTCCTTCATTACCCAAACTACCCAGTGCAGGACTTGGTCTGTGGACCACTGGATAGGATCTAGAAAGAAAAATAGTATCTTTAGCCTTGTTCCATTAGATATTTACAATTAACTTGACAATATACATACACAAACACGAAATACAGACAGAATTTTTCCTCAAATTAAGTAAACTCATTATGAAACTGAAAAGACTTTTCTGCTCTATTTTTTCTACTCAGCTCTTTTTCAATCTCTCATTCTAAATTTCAGATGGAGTCACTTGGTTCCACAGTCTGGAATTTTATCAAGAAAAACAAAATGCAAAATTGTTCTCCAGTGGGCCAAGTAGATGAATATGTGTTTATCTTGGAGAGAACAAATTATCCAAGTTCAAAATATTTTATAGCTTTGTCTGATTTGGTACATCAAAAATAAATTAAAATGGGATTTTAAGATCTAGACTTTTTCTGCAAATGTGAACCATGTACTCTTTCTCCCTTTACTTTCCTGTAAAAGGCTTGTTGGTGTTGCATTTACTGCTATCATGGCACTTAAAGTGCAATCTATTAATTACCTCTTCACTCAGGTGTGCTGCCGCAAGACATTAAGGTCTTAAATACACGGACTGTATCTGGAAATTACTTTAGGGCCTGTCATAGTGCCTTGTACATATGTTAAATCCATTAAATGTATATCTAAATAATTTCATTTTATCATTTTTAGTACCTAATAAATTCATAAATTTAAAAATGGCCAATATATACATATTATATTACTATTTTTCTGGCATTTATAGGTGGAAGTCTAATAAATTTGAGCTGAATTAAGTGCTTTAAAAAGATGATTTATCCAATTAGTACTGATTATATACCCAATGTTTTCAATAGGAAAATAAGTAGAAAAACAGTATTTAGCTATTTATCAAAAGCCAATTTACAGAGAAAAGCAAATGAAACATAAATATAGCATTGATAGCCACAGATATTTTTTAAAAAATATTTCCACAAAGTAGCAAAGGATTTTAGGAAGACAGCAGTAAAGTTCAATTTCTCTGAATGCACACAGAAAAACAGAAAAAATAGGGCCCAAAACAAAAAACCTAAGGATGTTTACAGTGAAATGAAATCATATCCCAAGGACTCTACAATACACATGGATGAAGGAGAAAAAAAGGAAATAAAAAGCAAGGAAGCAAATGCATCTCATCCATTCTGAGCACAGGAAAAATCTGAATATGATGGATAAGCATCCACTAAACCTGGGCATAATGGCATATGTCTATAATCCCATAATCTCAGCTACCTGGGAGGACAAGATGAGAGCATTATAATTTGGAGGCCGACCCTAAGCAATTTAGTAAAAGTATGTCTCAGAATAAACAAGCCAGGTGTGAAGATGCACACCTATAATCCTAGGGATTAGAAGGCTGAGGCAGGAAGGCTGCCACAGAGTTCAAGGCCAAAACAAAAAACCAGGGCCAGAGATATGGCTCAGTAATGGAACACTTACACAGCAAGTGTGAGGCCTTGGCTTTAATCTCTACCACTACAATGAGGGAAAAAGGGGAGGATACACAACGGGCCAAATTGAGAGTAATGGCTAAAAATAGTTCTGCCCAATTCAACAGCAGCTAAATACAAGGATGCGCAGTAAGGTTTAAAGGGCTGCAGAAGGGCAGCTCTTGAGAGGTTTTCAAACTTAGCCAAGGATTATTTCCAAGAGAGGTGCACACAAATAAGGAAAAAAAGCTGTCTTATTCCACAATACAGTACTTGACAACAGGTTCTGTTAAGTGTGAAAAGCTATCCTGAAGGACAACTCTCCTAAAAGCGCACAAAATCCCAGGCATGGCAGTGTACACTTGTAATCACAGCACTCTGGGAGGCTGAGACAAGAGGACTGTAAATTCAGGTGCAGCCTGGACAACTTTGAGATTTTGCTTCAAGAAAAAAATGTGTGTGGAAATTGGGGTGGGCGGTCTGGAAGGTCAGCTCAGTGCAGAACGATTAGGTTTAGTCTCGCACACCACAAAGAAAAAAACCCAAGAAAAAATTTTATATCAAAATGAACAAAAAACTATCAAGATCAAGAAACAGGGAAAAACATTAGTGTGATTTGTTTTCTCAATAATCAGGACTTCTGATTTAACATACCAAATTCGTCAGGCATGTTTTGCCCCTTTGCTCTAAGACCCTAGGTCAAAGAATTTCTAAAGATATAAAATCACAGGAACACAAGAGAAGTGCCAGGAATGGATAGAAAACTTCAGCTAGTTTACTGGAGACTATGGTAAAATGAAGTCAGTAATGACTCAACTTAATAAAGTAAAGCACACTTGTGCTGGGAACAGGACCGCAGTGAGGTCAGCTGTTAAGAGAAATGCTTTTTACTAAGACGTTTTCTTTCTCTAAACTTAAAAGACACACAATAAATACTAGAGCTTACTCTGGGGGCTGTGGGAGAACTGGATAACTAGTTAAGATATACATCAAGTATATCTGTAATAGTCTGGGTTTTGTATGAATATAAAGTATTTTGAAACGTTAATATTTGAAAATTCTGGAGGTCAAAAAATTACTTTTTAAAAGAACTAGAAGACAATCTTAGCATATCTATCTTTTCAATAGTCTTATTTAATAAGGGATAAAAATAAATATTTTGCATTTTAGTCAGTCATTTCAATACTGCTCCGAGTTAGGAAATTAACCAAAGAACAACCCTTAGGTACAGAAATAGAGACCTTAAACAATAGTTTCCTATGAAAATAATAATCATTTCTGAAACTTTCTATTGGGTAATAACATGACTAAAAAATTCAGTGATTTTAAAAACATCTTCCTGGACCTCCATAAATCTCAAATGTTTTAAAATTAAGAGTTTCACTTTCAAGAAATCACCTCATTTAGGCTAACCTGGACATTACTGCTATTGAATGAAGTACAATAATATGCTTGTTTTCTTTCCACCCACTCTATTTGCTGCTCCAACTTAACAGCATACACATCACTGTCACATTTATTTTTCAATTATTACTTCCACTAATCCAAAGCAGTTTTATACATTAAACAGAATAACTTCTCAGCCACTCGACATTCTCATTACTCATGCAACCTTTCCAGCTTTACACTTTGTTTCCTGTCCTCAGCACAGTCATTTTTCTTTCTCATAAACTCTTCTCGAATTTTCTCTCAGCCCACTAGGATCCCTGAGATTCTAACAGCGTGTTTCAGTTATACAAGTAACTGACATCTTAAATGTCACCTTTATGATTATTATCTCTTTTCACCTATCTTCTTTTTCAACTACACTGTGAAAACACTAACGTAAGAATTTTGTTTTATACTTCTTTGTATACCTAGCACCCAGGACAGTACTCATCATACGTGTGTAAGCGTGTCACCATTTAAAAAGAGATAAACATTCTTCCTAAAAATTTTACATTTAAAATAGACTGTAACTTACTCAGTGCTTTCTAGGTGAAACATAATTTTTATTCTACCTAATCAGTAATCATATATTTTATTACCATAGGGTATCCCAAGGCGTTCCTGTTCTTTCCTATAACCTTCCAGCGCAGCAGCCCATCTTGTCACTTGCTCTGAAGTTTCATCTGAAATGGTTGTGATATGTTTTGTGCCATCAAGAGTTATCACTTGAGCTTCTTCTACAAGATGTGCTTCTGCTTCAGCATGATGAGCATCTGGATCAATAACTACTTCAACAGTTTCTGCAGTTTTCACAATTTCAAGGATGTTTAGCTTCGGCTCAATCCCTTCACAGGAAATTAAAAAGAAAAAAAAAATATTCAACTGAAAATACAAGTCTCAAAAAACAAAATGTTCCCAGATGGTAGAGAAAAACTACTAAATATTTTAGCATTATATATAGAAAGTTGAATGACAATAAATACAATTTGATAGAATGTCCTTAAAGATACTGTGTCAATATTAATTTCCTGATTTTGGTAATTATATTGTGTTTATATGCAATAATCTTTTTTTTCCAAAGAAAAAATACTGACAGAGTAAGTTACAAATATTGATGATATATTTAGAGACAGAAAGGCATCATGCATGCAACTTACCCTTAAAAAGTGGTACAAAATACAGTGTGGGGGAAGAAAGAACAAGAGCAAATATATATAATACACACCCACACACACCCCAGTACTGGATTGAATCCAGGACTTCATTCATGCAAGTCAAGTGTTCTACCACTGAGCTATATCCACAGGGCCTTTTATTTTTTAAGGCAGGGCCTAAGTTGCCCAGGCTGTCCTCAAACATGCCATCCTCTTGCCTCAGCCTCCCAGTTGTAGAGGCATGTCCACACCATGTCCCAAGAAATCTTTACGTAGTTTTGAAACTTTTCTACAATTATTAAACACATACATACAAACCCTACCTACAAACGGCATTGGGGGGGGAAGCAGTTTCTACCACAAATAAAAGTAGTAACATAGAATAAAAAAATAAAATCTAGACAAGGGAGAACATAAATGAGCAGCTACCTATGCTTAAGATTAAAAAAAAAAATGAATACAGAAACTCAATGCCTACCTACCCAGGATCAAAACATTTTAAGATATACTATTCAAATAGAATAAACTAGCCCCCTTTATGAAATGATTTCAGATACTTATCATAAAATACCAGCTCTAAGAAACTTATTATTTAAAAGCATCAGCTTACTGAATTTGTCACAATCTGTATCAAATCTAATAAGTGAAAGTTCGAAAGAAAAAGTAATAATTTCAATCTCTCAGGAAAACTAGTGTAAGAAACTATATTAACATTCATTAGGTGGTAGGTGGTATAAAGTTACTTTTTCAAATGTACATGACAAAAAAATTAAAAACCAATATTTTCCTAGCATTTATTCCCTATTCCTCTATCCAAATTTCATACTTTCATGGCTTCAAGTTAACTCTTTACACAACTTGCTCTGAGAGGTCACTGGGCTTTGAAAGATAAAACCAATGAATTTCTTTCCTATCTGCAACAATAATTATGGGGGAATTAAGGATCAGAAGCAAATAAACATGGTTTTCAAGGTCCAAAGAAAACTGGTTTATTGGTTTCAGCAATACAGTATGATCAGAGATTATTTTAAAACTTATTAGAAATCTTAACAAATTCCATTTTTAAAAACTAAAATTCAACCCACCAAAATGGCTTTCTAAATTTATTTTCTGACTTGAGCATTTACACAAGAATAAAAAATTCTGATTGATTGGATTACTATGTCCTCTGAAACTCTTCTCTGTGCAACCCAAAGACACTGATTTTCCTTATAGTTAGGGTTCTGCATATGATTTAAGACTCTAGATTCACTGGTTATAAGCTTTCTGTTTGGAAATGATGTAAGAGATGCCAAGCAGGAACATGACATCCATTTTTTGACTAGTGTGGCTCACTGTAAAGGCAGTACAGTTCCAAGTCGAGCCCAACAGTGGTACTTTCCGGATGCTGCTTCTTGGATCAAGGATCACCAGCTTTCTTGGCAGTCTAGCTCTGCAGCGTGGCTGCATTTTTAGGAAGTTAGCAAGAACCTGTTCTTCTAGACCACCTTGCGATTCTGTTATTTAATAATGTATAATATATTCCTTTAAGCTGGGTGGAATATGTTACACTCTGATTCCTGAAAGATTCAATAACTAAATCAAAAAACAGGATTATGAAACTATAGCACCTCATTAAGTCATTTAGACAAACCTCTAAAATGCTACAAATTACAAAGTAGAATTATTATATCAGAAAAACATAAGCTCAACTTTTAAATAACTCACTAAAAGGAACTTACCTTGGTAAGAAATTACCTGTACACTAAGCTGTACAGTTCCATCTGTCTTTACTCCTTGGTCAAATAAACTTCTTTCCGGATCCAGCTAGACCAGGGTAAAATGTAACACAATTTAATCTCAATCATTAGGTTACAGCTCATTTCTCTGGTTTAAAGCAAGTGGATGCACCAAATGGGATTTAATTTTTGTGCATAATAACTAAATTATAAGAACACATCTGGGTTGGGATCTTCACACCAAAAGGCAATTATTCACTGTGTAAATGTATTTAAAGAAGGTAATGTCTGTCACGAATAAGTAAAGGGTGTTCAATTAGTGGTGACATTTTATCTAAATTTATTAACATATTCAAGTCATTTCTGCCTTGTAACCAATGCTACACACTGATGATCAGGATTCACTCTAAGTCTCTGATCACAAAGTTAATAAAATTAAAAGGATTTATGATCTTATTACTTTATCTGGCTACATCATTAATTACAATTTTATATTTGTTGAACATTGGAGCTCTTTTTTGTTCAAATCTTCATACTGTGACTGCATTTCACACAATGGCAAAAGATGAGAAAAAAAATAATTGTGAATTCCAGATACTTTGTCTCTAGCTTTAAAAAAAGTTCCCATTATAATGATTACCTTGAATAATGTATATTGGTGTATATACTGGTGTGTTTCTATATATCATATTGATGAAGGTACAAACCTCTCACTCTCACAAGAATTCAGCTGTTACTAAAGTCATGATACACTTTCTCTAATATCTAAAATACCATATACAAAATGAGCAAAAAAAACCACATACATATACACACACACACACACACACACACACACACTTCAGCAGTTCACCATACTAATAAAAATGCCCAAAAGCTATTGGCCACCACTTTGAGCACCTCCTGTAACTGTAGAGGTCAAAGGTAACTTGTATTAATCTCATGATACCTTAATGAATTTAGTATTAAAATATTTATATAAATTTCTATTCCTGATGTATACATTTTTTAGTGAATCTGTATATAAAACCTATAATCTTAAGTGACTATAAGCATAACTTAAGACTGACAAGAAAAATGGGATCTGGTAAGACAAGTCAAATGTGGCAGTGCTACTCTCTAACTGTAACAGTCTTCGCCTGAAATTTTGTTAAAAATTCTCCTATCAGTTTTCTTTTTTCCCTTGTCTAGCAGACTTAAGTATTAAGCCACTAGAAGCTATGGCATGTGTAACTCTGGAACTAAGGTCTCAGATACTAAATAACATACTTCACTAAGAGGTGGCACAAGGACAAAATTCAAGTCTGGTATTTAATTTGTCATTTTTCACAGAATGCCAACTCAATGATTGTTACATCAGCTTTCAAGTTGGCACTAATCTGAAAATACAAAAAGCATTACCAGAAAAAAACAAGCTTTCTGACTTTAAAGTGTGTTTGCACTAATTGATTTGAAGAATAGAAGTTGTCACCCTTACGTTCTTTTTGGAGAGGGAAAGAGCAACAGGGGGGAACACATTATGCCCTCAGATTCAAGGACAGCTTTGAATTCTACAACACTATGACATATACATACTTCCATTTATCCAACTAATATGCACTGACAATCTATGACAGGTTGGGTACTTTGCAGGCTATATTTTCACTACAGATAGGTCAGGTACTAATTTTAAAAAGCAACTAAAACTAAACAAATCAAAATAAAACAGCAAACCTTGAAAGACAACTAAGTAAGGCCAGATTCTGCACTATTTTACATTATGAGAAAAATCAGGTAAGTTCAGTGGCGTTGAGTTATTCACTACATACTTTCTTACTGCGCCCCCCCCGCCCCCACCTCAACTTCCTGAATAGCTGAGATTATGGATGTAAACCACTACATCTAGCACAAACCATTAAAATGTCTACCTCAAACAAGTGAGGAGATATTTGCAGTCACACTGGCCTGGGTTCAAATTCCAGCACACCACAATGTAGCTAAAAATTGGGCAAATTATTTTATTCTTTAAATTTCAGTTTCTACACCTGCAAAATGCGATTATTTACTGCTGATTCCAAAGACCAATATAAAGATTAGATATGATAATTTGGAAGTGTTTTATAAGTTTTTTTCTTTTTTTTTGAGACAGCATCTCCTAGTTCAGGCTGGCCTTGAACGGACTATGGAGCCAAGACTGGTCTCAAACTCAGTGATCCTCCTGCTTCCACCTCCCCAGTAGTAAGATTATAGGTATGCGTCAACATGACTGGCTAGCTCACCAATTTTTAATGTCAGTCTTAATTCTGATCTATGTGTATTTTACTTATTGACTCTCCAGATTTTGGAACATGTAAATTGTTTCCAGTTTTGGCAAAATCACGAATAAACATCTTCATAT